ATGTGTATATAATATGTAGTTAAATTATAAGAATATTTTTTGATATTGTAATGAAACATTACAACTACGTGGTAGAGCCACGCTGCAGTTATATTATGGTTGTAGCACGAATGGGTCGGCTCGACAGGGGAAGGACCACGCTCTTACATAATGTCAGCGTAAAATATCAGCATAATGCTGCTGTGTTTTGTATGGTGTGAGAGTAGAGAACCGGAGACCCTTTTTACTGGAAACGCATCTGCATTTTGATTCTTAATGAATATTATATAAAAAATTATGTTAATTTTTTCTTTATATTGGTACTTTACGTTAAATTGTTACCAATTCATGGTAGAGAAATACTGGTGGAGAATGCCTAATGGCCTATATATTATTTTATAATAGCGAATACAATAACGAATAAGTAAGGGAATAAATTATAGTTGTATTTTGCTTAACCAGTTACTTTGGGTTTATATGAAATTTGAAAAAGTCGTAATAAATTACGCACGATTTTTATGTTTAGATCGTTTAAGTAGGATATGAAAACTTATAAAATAAAAACTCCACAAAGCACTGTCCTCAGCCAACTGCCTCCATCGACTTCCTGTATGTCTTACTGGTTCTTCACTCCATCTACGAGGCTACCACTCGAGAACCTTTCCTCCCCATCAGTTGTCGTCCTTTGAGTTATGACCAGCCCTAATGGGCAGAAGTTGTAATCAACTTCTGCCTATTAATACTTTGGGCTATGTTGGTTACTGTGGTTCTACTGCGGATATCCTCATACTCAAAGTAACGAAATTTAGATTTTCGTTAGTTAGAATATTTTTCATCTAACGTTTGTATTTACATAACCGCATCTAATAACCATGCCAAATTTCAATCGCTACGGTCTACGCGGAAACAAATCTCAGAGATAACTTTTGTGACTGACAGGTATCGAGGTGATTCGTTAAGCGTTATGTTTAGTTCTATTTGGCACGGAATTCAAATATTCTATTTTCTTAATATATATTTAATTATAAATATTCCATTCGAAAATTTGAGCTAATTCATTTCAGTTTCAAGTCTATAATAAAGGTATTTCAAAAAATATATATATATATATATACGATGGGAAAAGCTCTTGTTCTGCATTGCATATAGTGCCAATTGTTCTCAGTCGTCACGCTTCGTATGCAGTAAAAAGAAAATATCAACCAAATAATTCCACACGTCTATTGGCGTAAAGAACGCGGTTACGCGTATAAAACCGTCAGATCAGTCTGGTATTCATTGCTATTTGGAATAATTATTTCGCTTCGTTTTAAATTTGGAATTTTCTATTTTTATTTTATCTCACAGAAATACAAGTTTATGATATACTCGTAGTTCCAACTATTTATGTAGTTGGATGTATGATGCCGGCGTAAGACAATCTATTTCCAATTCTTTTTGCGGGTTACAATGATTACTTTTTTTTCATCCACAGCAGCCTACTAAAGTCCAATGCTGAACGTAGCTCATAAATTGCCTCTTAGGGAGATATTTGTGATAGTTATATTTCGCTTAGCATGCGGGTTGGCAACCGCAGTTTTTTTTAGTTGTTATTAGGAAGACGCTGCCGCCCATCTCCTGGTTTACTTCAATCTGTCGCCTCCAACAACACCCACGGCACGTTATAGTTTTTTTTACCTCAAGGGATTTTGGTCATTGTTTGCCATATTTATTTGCAATATCTGTACATTGCTTTGTTTTTACAATGCTGTTCTGCTATTTCGTACAGAAAAAGACGGACGATATGGGGTAGCGGATATTTATACACCGCCACTACACGATAAATTATTCAATTTTATTAATCTAATGATCTAATCTATTCACAGCGCTGTCGCGCGTTATTTTATTGTAATGCTGGGGCCACAGTAACGGGAAACGTCAATGCCCATAAACGCAACAATTATTGCTTTAATTTTAACACCAAAAAGAGTGAGTGGCTACACTTGAACGCTCAACCTAATTTCAATTCCCTTGAACGGCGTTAAAGTTGTCGTTAATGTTTCTTAAATTTCAAGCAAGATGGACGTTGACGCTGCTACTTTATATTTGATGAGTGTAAATTTTTATTATATGAATATATTTTATCATTGGTCATTGCCAAACGTAGAAAAAATGAATACAAAGAAAACGAAGATGGTTAAGTATCTCAAGAAATGTAATAACTTTTTCTTTATTACACTCTATCATAGCCATACATGCGACCCCGTTGCGCTCACCGTGCACAATGAGACAAACGTAGTGTGGCCGCTTCAACGCGTTATTTCGTGCGTTAATCTCTTTGATGTACCGCCACTCGAGTTACCGCCAAACGGCAAACGGCACTGATAATGCCGTTGTCTTAAGTCGTGGCCACACCTACATTCAACGTCCATCAACGCGATAATTAACGGCATTTCTCGTTAGTGTGGCCCCAGCATAAGAACTAATTTCTAGAACTTGTATTGTAACGACAACTGTGCGGCTAAGTAGTTAGCTTATGTTACTTCCGAATCATGAATCTTGGGTTCGAATCCCATCCGGAGAGAACTTTGGTGCATTGACACAAAGAGAATGCCAGATCGAGCCCCACCTTGTACAAAAAAGGTAAAAGTATGAAAAGTAATCTAATGAATTTTGAAGTTTTTTTGTGATAAATCGTTATTTTGTACAACTTGCGGTAAAATATTATTTAGAAAAAAAAAAGGAATTCAACGATTAATATTTACATTTCCAGTCTAATCTAATAACATCTGTGTTTCTTTGTACGAATAAGTACATACGTACGCATAAAGTATCAAAGAATACATATTTCTATTAAAATATATTATAAATCTTTCTCATATAAAAATGTTACTTATCAATTTTTATTTTTAATTATTATTATAAATCGATAATAATCATGAATTGCATTAGATAATTACTGAATAACAATCATTGACTTTCGTGCATTTTGTGAAATGATACACATACGTCATTGTATGAATATTGTAAAATGTACGTCAAATTAAATCGAATATTTTCACACATTGACTAATTTGTGCTTGTAATTTGTGTATATTGATTATGATATCATATATATTATATGACATCTTTGCTTGTGCTGATTCCCGCTTTCTTTACCGTTGCACTTTTTCTTGCTTTTGCTGATGACTTATGCTTTTATTAATATACGGACTCGATCACGCCTACTTATTGACTTACTGCTGCTAATTACTACGGACATTCTGATAATTGCATCCACGATGTTGAGGTGCACTAATTGTCATCTTTGCGTCAATAGGGTGCAGGGGCATTTTGTGTCCTTATTTCAATTTAAAATCTTAACTCTTCTTTCAACATGGAGGTCTTTGGAACAGATATATTTAGTTTTATAGTTTTTTTTTATATAGTCGATAATTTATGGTCCTGCCGTTTTCGTGGAATTAGTTACTAATCTAAATATTTACATCTTCTTCAGACACATGTCATAATAATATGTATCTTCAAAAATATTTTTTTAAATAATATAACTCGTTTACAAGATTAGGACTTAGATTTTATGAAAAAGAGGTGGTACTAGTCTTATATTGTGTAAGGACCTTTTAGATCCTATACAAGAGAACCCTTTTTCCAATGTAACTGATCATTATTTTATTATGCTCCTTAAATTCTTATTTATATATTACATCTGCGCCTGACAATTTATATTCTGAAATTACAATGAACTGCAACGAATGTTCTAAAAAATAAGGTAAATGTAATTATTAAGTCCAGTTTAAAAAAAATCGTAAGTTCTAGAGACTTCAAATTATATAATTTGGATGAAGTAATAAAGTAGAAAAAAAATGTTACATACGTCATTCGTGTACATCACACTTTTGGGTGGGGCAATGTTCTATAGAGAATCTGGCATTCTCCTTTTCAGTTAACGAGATGAGTAATAATGTGACCAAAGGTGATTTAACACAGATTTTCTGATTACCGTTATAATGTTTCTCTGACACTGTCACTTATACGGTACTTACACTTATACGGTAAGGATCCTCCTCCGTCCTTACCGTATAAGCATTACATTGGCAACACATAGAATATGACTTTGCTCTTTGGTGACGGCGTTAGAGAGTCTATTATCCCATTTCGCCCTGTGAGTTTTATATAAGAAAGATGACAAACTAGCACACAGTCCAACTGATGATAAGTGAATGGTCCATAGACATCTACATCCATCCGCGATTAAGTAACATAGAAGCGCTGTGTGCTTTGTTTCGTATGGTGAGTAAAGAGAACTGAAGATCCGATTTAATGGTTTTCCAATATTCCTGCTTAGTCCTCAGGTTTAACAACGTATCTGGATTTTGATTTTTAAGAGAGGATTGATACTGTTTGTGGGTTATAGCACTTGTCATTGAATGGACTTGTGCCAAGACTGTTTTTCACCCTTATAGTTTAAAAAACTACTTTCAAGTATGTAAACTTTTTTCAAAATTGTTCAAAAGATTATTCTGTTACGAGTTCTATTCAAAGCAAAGCATAGCATACTATTGCAAAACTTTAAGTTACTGTAACATGTTTCTGAGTAAATTTAACCTGCGTCCAAGGGTTATATTCAAAATCCAAAGGTTAACTAACTCAACAGAACGACACTACGGCAAGTCAAGCAAATCAGTATCTTCATGAGCTTAGGTCAAAGAACAAAATGCGAGTAATTTGAAATACTTAAATTAAAACCAAATTAAAAAAACTGTTTTACTTAATAAAATCACAGCTTATAATATCCTCTTGCTTCTGAGAGGATTTTAGGCCAAGGCCCTAAGTGAAGAAAGAAGTGTCTGCTGAGCTGCCCCAATGCGCATTGACGGATTTCACATGTCTTCGAAATATTTTATTTTATTTCTCAGTCATACAGTAGATATTTAGGAATTATATTTTAAATACGAGGGTTAACTATGGAACTCAACAAAATAGTTTTATTGAATATTATACTTTTATATTGATAAATAAATTAAACTGTTATCTAATTCCAGATCTTGATCGGCATAACGCTTATGGTGTGGGTGGTGCAGAAGGCTCGCAAGGAGCTGACCATCGCGATAATGGCGGCGGAGCTCGGCCGGGATACGCTGTCTACCTCCAGCAGTTCCTCTATCAGCTAGCCCACGGCGGGGGCCACGGACGTGGACAGCGTCTCCGAGCGCTCCAGCTAGTGCACGGCCCCCAGGTGCCTCGGCGCCTGCGAGTATGAAACCTATGTGTAAAGTGATTGGGTTCACTTTCCTGTGATATTAAGTTACGAATACCTCCAAGAGGATTATTGCTGACCGGTTGTTGCTCACGCGATTTCATGTGAGAGAATCTTATAATGTTTATTGTGTTTATATGCTTGGGAATGTTGTACTGGATTTGTCAGAATGTGCCATTTTGTTACTTATTCGTATCTTGCATTTATTAAACCTTCTCCTTATATAGTTAACAATGTAGGAGTACGTTGCAATATTATTATGTAAATGAGATTTTTTTTCACAAATCGGTTTATGTGTTACACGATAAGGCAAAAACTATTATATGGCTTTAGTTACAATTTATATTTTAAATCAATTGTAAAACCTTAAGGCTTATAATGTTTTTATCTCACCACTTGTTTGGACACTTATTCAAAGAATGGCGATACGTAAACTTATAATATATAGTTTATATATAACTTAAATTGTAAATTTTAAAACCCCCCGAAACGAAAACAGCTGATGACCTAAACTGCTGAACCGATTTCGATAAAACATGTCTAAGAACCACCGTTAGAAAACCTGCTTTTAAGTATATAAAACAAACCGCATCGGTTCACCCGTTTAAGAGTTACGGTGGCACAGACAGACATATACATAGCGGTCAAACTTATAACAACCTTCTTTTTGCGTCGGGGGTTAGTAAAAATAGAAATTAAACCCTTTACATAACAGTATGAATTAAACCGAGCAATGTTTACGCACAAACGTGCGTAGAGAAATAACCGAACCAAAATCCATGACCCAATTCCAATTCCGTACGCCTGCCAAGCGGGGGACTTCCCGACTTCTAACCTCCGTCGAGCCAAGATATATTTGTCTCGAGACTTAATTACAGGCGTCATTTTTATTTTTTATTTTTGTTTACTATCTTCTCGATGTTATAAATAACCAAGCTAAAATTAAAAGTAAATCGCAGCTGAGACGTAGCTGGCGCTGCGTCCTTCGTAACGAAAAAACTTTTCCGAGTTCATAATTCGAATGTTTCTTTTTTTTTTGTGACACATTCTGACAATTTCCGACTTGTGGGTGTGGGCAAAAATATCGGTACTCATTTAGCAGATAGCATGTAACGATATCAACAAATGAATATTTATATAATGCATCACAATGTCGTGTCGCTCTTCGCTTCTTTGTACGTCGAATATTTAAGGCGCAGGTTGAGCAAAATGTCGCGCTAGTCGTTATTTGGGCGGTTTTTAGAAGCTATCTACTTTTTATTTAAAAGATATATCAACAAATAAAAAACACATTATATTTCTACATAATCTTGATTCCATAAAAGCTATATCCAATTTTTTTTAAAGGAATAAATATTAATATAATCTCCTTACAACGAAACCACATAAATGTGAAATTATTATTGATAACATGCATCTCCTCGTAAAGTAAGTATTATTTTATTTTGCGATTTACACCAATGGATAGGCAATTTATTAATGAACATTTCTATAGTAAATTTTTTTTCAAAAGACCAATATTTGATTTTATTAAGAAATTATTTTAAAATCTGGGCATATTTACTGCTCACGGGCTTGCTGAAGTCAGTGAGCGCTGAGCTCTTCGACGTGAAGCCCGTGTCGTTAGAGCGTCGACCGACGCATACGCCACGTCATATGAGTCGATAATATTATTACTTATTAGGTTATTTATAGGTAGTATTATTTGTTTGTTTTGAGTATAATTTTTCGTATTAGTTATACATATATTTGTTGTGCTTTTTACTGCGCGATGAAGCTTTTTGCGTGTATTTTCTTTGAAGTAAATGCAAATAAAAAAATGAAGCACCATTAGCATGTAAGGTTCGAATCCATAATTAAAATTTCGACAAATATTATAATTTACACTATAAAATGCTAATTCAATATTATCACCCAACCACAATATCTTATTAGGTATAGTACTGCCTCGTTGGTCTAATGGTTGTAGTAGTGCGACTGCTGATCATGGGGTCCCGGGTTCGAATCCTGGGTCGGGCCAAAAAGTCAGTTATGAGTTTTTCATTTATGTTCTAAGTTATAATTAGTATTACTAAGTTATAGTTTTTTGCTAAAATATAGTATATTATTTATTGCTTCTTTTTTCTTCTTTTTAAAAAAATAATTGAGTACATAAGGTGTTCTATACTTATAATTCGGTAAAAAGTATCTAAGTAGGTACTAATATACCTACTTTTTACTATAAACTAAAAATTTTTAAAATAAATTTAACTAAAAAGACTAAACTGACCATTTATTTTTTAACTCATAACAGGACATGGGTTTATTTATACTCTAAAAACTATAACTTTATACAATTAGTGTTCACTATAAAATTATATTCGGTATAGACGGTAATTATTAAATGCAACATATTTTTTTTAATTATTAATTACATTTGTCAGTGGATTAAATTTGCTTTTATAAAGTTGGTGATGATTTTAAATAAGAATAAAATTCTGCTCAAGTTTTTTATTGTTATCTTTGTTAACAACATCGCCTTTAGAACTCTGGAACCGTAAGTGTTTCTTTCAGACGTCCACAATTTATGCAAAATAAAAAAATACTCTTTCTACCGGAGCATTCGTACCAGGTAGACATAAAATATATTCGATTAAAAAAAACTATGTTGAAGATTGTTGACTTTGAATACTTCCATCCAACGAGTTACGGGACAATTTTGTGTCCCGGAGCATTGTTTGGGGACAATGGGACAGGAGACCGAGAAAAGGGACAGTCCCGTTCAAAACGGGACGTATGGTCACTTTAGCTATAACCCGGCGACCATGAAGCAAATACAAAGTTAGTTTTTGTATTAGCTTCATGGTGGCGCAGTGGCTTAGCAATCAGTTGTTGCGCTGGGGGCCGCGGGTTCGAATCCCGCATGGAACAAGTATTTGTATGGCCTACAAATAATTGTTCCGGGTCTGGATGTTTGTCTTTGTGCAATTTATGTTTGTAAACTGCCTCCACGACACAGGAGAAAATCCTAGTGTGGGGGTAACGTTTTTTTACAACTGAAATTGAAAGATTGAACCCTTATACTTCTTGTTGATTTTTGTATTACCTTTATTAAAGTTACCCTTATGTATAAATAAATATAATTACGTATGTAGAAATAAAATTGATTTTCATCCTCATCAATCATTGGGGTGAGGATAATATCTGCTAGCATAAGTAATAAGCAGGCTAAGTTACAAGGTGCTCAGTTCAAAAATTAGTAGGTAACTTTTCAATACGTGACACGTAAAAATTAACAATAATCAAAAACACATATGCGAAACATCCTATTTATTTATTTATTTTTTATTGCACCAAATATTTGTACAAAAGCCGAGCTATCTATTTATTTACCTATAGTGAATAGGTATCTTTTAAACTCACAATTTTCAATGCTTCAGTTTTAATATATAATTAATTATAAAATTTCATAATTAGATAATATATGAAAATACATAATTCTAATATAATGCAACTAATATATACAGAATAAAAAAATTAAAATACATTTATCTTTGTACGCTATGTGTATTTCCATAAAATAGTTTATTGATGTTGAAAAAATAATACTACTTTCGTACAATAGGTGGCGTCTTACATATTTCTTCCGGCGAGCCGCTCGTTAGGTCAAATGCTCAAGGTCGTTCGCATGGAGTAGCCCCTTAATGTGCGTTAAAAAAATATAAGGGCAAAAAAATTTTCAGACAGTTTTACATTCTACTTTCTGTTTTATCGATCTCACCTTTAATTTGTTAGGAGTGCTTTCTATTTCTAGAAATAACATGATTTTCATATACAGTATACATTATAAGTTAAATGCCTGCAAATAACATTTCCGGGTTTGTGTTATGGTGCAATTTATGATGTTAACCAATTCCACGTCCACGATACGAGAGAGAGAGAGAGAGAGAGAAGACTCTACTGTGGGGGTCAAGTTTACTAACATACTAAACTGAACACAAAACACATTATATAATAATAATGTCCTCAAAACCGAATTTCGGTAATGGCAGCCAGTCTCAACAGAGACTAGCCATCTGCGTAAGACAAGATTATAAACTGCAAGTGTACACACACACAGGTGCAATCCTTTATCTGTTGTTACTTTGCTACTTTAAAACTCCTATTGATGATTCTAGCTTGATGTCTATTTCGGTGGCCAAGCTTTTCTTAGTAACGTAACTAACCTCTTCATAAGAAATCATGTAAATACATACCAACTTTTATTTATAGCAGCAATATAAAATACAAATTCGAATAGGCAAGTATTTCACTGCTTGCCTATTCGAATTTTATTTGTGCACAAAACGCAACAAATAATTCAATTTTTTTTAAAATTAAAACTGAAGTGTAACACGTACTTTCAGCCAACTTGACATTAATTGGCTACTTCAGCCTGTAGGCATATGCAACTAACTTCAAACAGAGAAATCTACAAATGCATTATCATCTCTGAGCACTAAAATTTTGTACAGCCGACTTCAATATAAGTTATTAAGAATAACTCAAAAATTATTGGTCTGACCTTAATCAAGTTTATATGGGACCACACGAGAAGTACCAGCTTTCAAACAAAAAAAGAATCATCGAAATCGGTGCACCGAGTAAAAAGTTATGAGGTAACACACAAAAAACAATACAGTCGAATTGAGTACCGTCTTCTTTTTGGAACTTGGCAGAAAATAGCATCAGTTTTACGGTAGGAATTGACATAAAAATAGCAAAAATAACCCCAACTCGACGGACGTCAATGGATAGCTAAGGTTCTTTATTTTTCTATATTCTACTTTCAAAAATCACCATAAAAATGTTTTAAAATTATGTAACAATAATTTAAAATTTAAAATTTTGTACAGCCGACTTCAATATAAGTTATTAAGAATAACTCAAATAACT